GCAGAGGGACCTGGCCAGGCACCCCCCCGGGGCAGCAGGGCTCCTCTGCCCACTCCACAACCTGCAGGAAGGGAGGTTTTGGGCAAATCCCGGGAGAAGTGAAGGAATTGAGCAGCCCGAGGGATGGATCCCGGCCTCACCTGCCTGTCCTGGAACCTGCAGACCTGCCCCACAGCCCGTGTGCTGCCCCACACCTCCCCACGCTGCCCCCCAAACCCACCCCCGGGCACCCCCTTAGCCATCCTAGTGGGCTCAGTCTCATTTATTGCTCACAGAAAACCCATCAGGGATTAGGGATGATCCCTGCAGCTCCCTGGGGACTGTTCACATCTCTGGGCTTTCATCACTCCTACCATGTGATGAGTTTTTAACGGCCTCAAGCAATCCCTTTGGGCTGCCCCGTCCAGCCTCACCCCAGGATGGAGCTGGGCAGGGCCAGAAAAGGTGTATTCCTGTGCCCCCCTTCTCCCCACAAATTAAAATGGATGCACTGAGGGGCTCGTGAGGTGGCAGCTGGTGGCACATCACCCTGGAGGTGTTCTTCAGATTATTCTCCCCACAAATTAAAACGGATGTTGGTGTGTACTGAGGGGCTCGTGAGGTGGCAGCTGGTGGCACATCACCCTGGAGGTGTTCTTCAGATTATTCTCCCCACAAATTAAAACGGATGTTGGCGTGTACTGAGGGGTTTTTGAGGTGGCAGCTGGTGGCACATCAACCTGGAGGTGTCCTTCAGATCCTTCTCCCCACAAATTAAAACGGATGTTGGCGTGTACTGAGGGGTTTTTGAGGTGGCAGCTGGTGGCACATCAACCTGGAGGTTGTTCTTCAGATCCTTCTCCCCAGCTGCCGTGCTCAGAGCGGGGGGCACACAGCCTGAGCCTGTAGAAATCTCCCAAAAAAGCGGTGCAAAGTGCCCTCCTCTTGTTGGCAAAAGCGGGAGAGCCCCGGAGCTCTTGTGCCAGAGCAGAGGGCAGTGGGAACCTGAAGCCCGGCCAGAGCTTCCAGCATGTCCTGTGCCCACCGTGCCGCACAAGAACCCGCTCCAAGGTCTTGACCACACGGAGCCTCTGCCTCTGGCCAAGCACAGAGGTGACGTGTAAACAGAGTGGGCTTGTCTGGGAAAAAAGCACCCACCGGAGATGATGCAACCAGGGTGCAAGGGGCGAAGTTCTCAGCTGGCCGGGCCTGCTGGCAGCTCCCAGAAATAGCTCAGGAATGTCAACAGGGAGGAAAAAGAGTGGGCACAAGCCTGGCCTGGGAGCACCGCTCCCACGGGGCCTCGGGCAGCGCTCCCCGGGCACCGGCAGGACCCAGCAGATGGCACCTTCACCTTCACACTCATGGTGCACACACACGCTCACTTGCACGGACGCTCAGTGGTGCACACACCTCCGTACGCTCCCTTGAAAATACATGTGTGGTCACCCACCCCAAATATTTGGGGACATGCCCTGTTTGGGAACATACACGTGCACCCACGTGCCCATTGCCCTGCCTTTCATTCCATGATCCCCCATGACCCAGCAGATGGCACCTTCATCTTCACCTTCACGCTCATGGTGCACACACACGCTCACTTGCACGGACACTCAGTGGGGCATACACCTCCGTGTGTGGTCACCCACCCCAAATATTTGGGGACATGCCCTGTTTGGGAACATACACGTGCACCCACGTGCCCATTGCCCTGCCTTTTATTCCATGATCCCCCATGACACAGCAGATGGCACCTTCACCCAGGCACGGTGCACACACGCGCTCACTTGCACGGACGGTCAGTGGTGCACACACCTCCGTACACTCCCTTGCAAATACGTGTGGGGTCCCCCACCCCAAATATTTGGGGACGTGCCCTGTTTGGGAACATACACGTGCACCCACGTGCCCATTGCCCTGCCTTTTATTCCATGATCCCCCATGACCCATCAGATGGCACCTTCACGCTCATGGTGCACACACACGCTCACTTGCACAGACACTCAGTGGTGCATACACCTCCGTACCCTCCCTTGCAAATACGTGTGGAGTCCCCCACCCCAAATATTGGGGGACATGCCCTGTTTGGGGACATGCTCACACGTGCACCCGTGTGCCCATTGCCCTGCCTTTTATTCCATGATCCCCCATGACCCATCAGATGGCACCTTCACGCTCATGGTGCACACACACCCTCACTTGCACAGACGCTCAGTGGTGCACACACCTCCGTACGCTCCCTTGCAAATACGTGTGGAGTCCCCCACCCCAAATATTTGGGGACGTGCCCTGTTTGGGGACTGCTCACATCATGCGCCCGTTGCCCTGCCTTTCATTCCATGGTCCCCCATGACCCAGCAGATGGCACCTTCACCCAGGCACGGTGCACACACACACTCACTTGCACGGACGCTCAGTGGGGCACACACCTCCGTGTGCAGTCCCCCACCCCAAATATTTGGGGACATGCCCTGTTTGGGGACGTGCCCTGTTTGGGGACTGCTCACATCATGTGCCCGTTGCCCTGCCTTTCATTCCATGGTCCCCCATGACCCAGCAGATGGCACCTTCACCCAGGCACCGTGCACACACACGCTCACTTGCACGGACACTCAGTGGTGCATACACCTCCATACGCTCCCTTGCAAATACATGTGTGGTCGTCCACCCCAAATATTTGGGGACGTGCCCTGTTTGGGGACATGCTCACACGTGCATCTTGTGCCCATTGCCCTGCCTTTTATTCCATGATCCCCCATGACCCAGCAGATGGCACCTTCACCCAGGCACGGTGCACACACACGCTCACTTGCACAGACGCTCAGTGGGGCATACACCTCCGTGTGCGGTCCCCCACCCCAAATATTTGGGGACATGCCCTGTTTGGGGACATGCTCACACATGCATCATGTGCCCATTGCCCTGCCTTTTATTCCATGATCCCCTACTCTTTCCTTCTGACTCTCAGGATGGATTAAACTCCTCACAAGGCAAGGCTGCTCCTGGATTCAACCCCTGGGGGGAACAGGGTCACTCTCCCCACGTGCAGCACGATGGAGGGAGTTAGTTGGAGTTCCAAGCTGCATCTCCTGGCCCAGGTGCCAGGCCAGGGGGGTTGTTAAAACCTTTTGTGTCACCACCACCTCCCAGCTGACACACCACAGCTTCACACATGCAGGAAAGGGAAACTGAGGCACGGTGCCGTGCTGAATTCCTCCTTCTCTGCCAGATTCACAGAGCCAGGATCAGGGCTGGGGCAGGTGGCAAAGAATCATAGAATCATCATTCAGGTTGGAAGAGACCCTTGGGATCATCGAGTCCAACCATCTCCCCTACTCTACAAAGTCCTCCCCTACACCATGTCCCTCAGTACCACATCCAAACGTCCCCTAAACACATCCAGGGATGGGGACTCACCCCCCCCCCTGGGCAGCCTCTTCCAACGCCCGACCACTCTTTGGGTGAAAAATTCTTTCCTAATGTTCAATCTAAACCTCCCCTGTTGGAGCTTGAAGCTGTTCCCTCCCGTTCTGTCGTTAATTACCTGTGAGAAGAGACCAGCACCAACCTCTCTACAGTGTCCTTTCAAGGAGTTGTAGAGAGTTGTGGCATAAAGGGTGAATTCTCTCCTACGAGGACGGGCTGAGGGACTTGGGTCTTTTTAGTCTTGAAGAGAAGACTTAGGGGGGATCTAATCAGTGCTTAGAAATACTTAAAGGGAAGGTGCCAGGAGGACGGGGCTGGTCTTTTTTCAGCGGTGCCCAGTGACAGGACAAGAGGAAATGGGCACAAACTTGAGTATAAGAAGTTCCACCTGAACGTGGGGAGGAACTTCTTTACCGTGGGAGTGGTAGAGCCCTGGAACAAACTGCCCAGAGAGGTGGTGGAGTCTCCTTCTTTGGAAACATTCAGAACCCTCCTGGACAAGTTCCTGTGCTCTGGGTAGACCTGCTCTGGTGGGGGGGTTGGACTAGATGATCTCCAGAGATCCAGATCTTCCAACCCCATGTGATTCGATGAATTACTCTCTAACCCACCACCCTTTCCAGGCCGGGGAGCGGGGTCTCCCCAAAGGGATGAGATCCCCCTGCACTGCCCAGCAGTGAAACCCCCGTTTCACCTCTAGCATGGCAAGAGCATCCCATCTGCTGGCCCCCTCCCACCGCCGCTGCGTGTCCCCCCCAAAGCGCACTCTGGCCCACCAGATCTAGGGCAGGGGTCAATGCGGAGCCGTGAGTGGTTCTTGCACCCATTGCATAAGTGT